CAAAGGCACTTAAGGTTTCTTAATCCTAATCCTAATCTAATGCCCTCATTGCTGCACCATTCTTGGAATGGATGTGTGAAAAAGAAGTATACCTACCGCTTTGTATGTTGGCCGGACATCTTGTAGCACATCACCATACTTCCAACCAAGTGGCTTTGCATCAAAAATAAGGGGCAAAAGGTTCAGGTTTGTTATATTTAAGCAGGGTGGCTCTGGAAGATTTGGTAAATCCTGAGTGGTACCCTGAAACAAATGTAATACAGTTTCGAAGGAAAGGTGTTTTAACCCTAACCAGGAAATAGAACAAAAGAAAAAGGGAGAGGGATTATATAATAAAGAAGTTCTGCTGCATGGAGTTGAGATTCTGTTCAGGATTTCTGTATCCTCTTCTGAATGTTCAGTTCTCGTTTTGTTTCCCCCTTGTTTTCTATTTTTAGGCTCCTTCAAATATACATGGCTGGTTTTAACCTTCCATAGCAAACCATGGAAGCAATAGTCATTTGCACTTTGCTGCTTGTTTACTCTGGGAATGTGCTTGTTAAAAAATAAAAAAATAATTCTCTTGGGCATGGGTGGTAGGTAGTAGTCAGCATGCTATTCAGCATGGTTTAACACCACATTTACTTGGGGGATGCTAGAATGCAGAACAAAATAGCTTGCTTGGAGTTTCTCTTAGTGGAACACTTCCCCATTAGAATGCAGCCCTTCTGAAACCTTCTATCTTATGTGCACCTTTATAGGTTGCACTTCTATTTCCACTTAAATATAAAGAATCAGAGATCTCAGTTCTTTAATATTGCATGCTTGCAATTTGTTCTTACCGTAGCAATAGCTTTGGCCAGACCTTGAAATAATTGTATATAAGCAGAAAGAGTGTGTGGTCCAAAAATGGTAGATGCTCCTTCATACCGTTGAACCTACAAAGTGAGACACAAAGGTCTATGAATTCATGATAGTTTCAAGATCCTAACAGAAGACTAAATTTTATATAGACTATAGCCACAAGCCATACATTCTACGCATTTTTGTATTAAGAATATTACAACTTAATTACCTGATATTCTTCATAAGTAACTATATAATGGGTGTAAATGTTGCACAATCCTGAAAGTATAATATCCATTCCCGCTTTCCCTTGAATTTCAAATTCCTATGGAACAGAAGAACAGTGTTGAAAACAAAAATAAAAAAGAAACAAATGGAACAAAAAATCTAAATTCAGAGCACAAACAGAGCATTTATTCATTTGTTCAAGATTTCTACCATGACTAGCAATTTAGAAAAAAAAGCAAAATATGAAGTCAAGGATGCAGCCCTAAAATAATTAGAATAGAATAGAATATTTTGATAACAATCACTGACCAGAATTGCAAACAGAAACACATTGAAATCTAAATTCAGAGCACAAACAGAGCATTTATTCATTTGTTCAAGATTTCTACCATGACTAGCAATTTAGAAAAAAAAGCAAAATATGAAGTCAAGGATGCAGCCCTAAAATAATTAGAATAGAATAGAATATTTTGATAACAATCACTGACCAGAATTGCAAACAGAAACACATTGAAATGTAATAGCCTGTCCTAAAATAAATACAATAGGCTATTAAATTAATGTCTGCAAAGAATCCCCCTCCCCAAAGAAAGCTGCCAGAGAGTAAAACAGCCATTTTTTAATAAAGAGCTTGGAAGACATAAATATTTGGCTTACTGTTTAAATGAAAACAGTGTAGATACCAAGCAAAGCTACCAAGATGTAAGGAAGTTGGATTGAAAAGAATCAGGTATCCCAAACCGGGCCCATATTTAAGCAGCATGGGAATGCAAAGAGGCTACATATATGCCATCTGTAAACTAATCTCACATCTCCTGTTAGCTGAAGGGATCAAATATAAGTATAGGCAAGGCCCCATTATACAGCTGATGTTTTAGGATATTCAGGTCTGATGATGCAAGTCTTCATAAGTAGAAGACAGATGTTTTCTCTCTCCTCTTATGGGTACGGTCATCATATATGCCCCCCCATTTGACTTCCTTGAGCATAAGGTGACACATCCCTGAATTAGAAGAAATCGGATGGATGGAAGGTCATATTCTAGAGAGCCAATATGGTGCAGTGGTTAAGGTTCTAGACGAGGAACAGGGACAGCCAGGTTCTAGTCTTCCCTCAGGCAGGGAAGCCAGCTGCATAACCTGGGGCAAATAACCCCCTCAGCCTAATCAGCATCAGGCTGTGCAACAAGCCACATGAATTTAAAAAGAAAAAAAGAGTGCTCACTGCATCATGCACTGCTTTACTGTGAGAACGGCAGCAAGCCCAGTGCAAAACAAGCAGATCCTGCAACCAACAGGGGAAACTCTAGGAACAACCAGAAGAAGGTTATATTCTGCAGGGAGACAAATGGTTGGGCCCAGCTGGATGGCAGTCACTGTCTGTCAGGCCCAGCCCAAGAACAACAGGGAAACAATCCAACCAAGTTCAGTTCTTTTATTGCTTACACCA